GGGTGGGCAACACATGTATGACCCGACTACATGATTTACAGGAAAATGAAACTTAGGCCCAGCTAATGCTAAAGCCTTAACTAAATTTTGGGGCATAGCTTCCATTTCATATGAGAAACGTTCACTTGTTCCACACGATAGGATTATAAAGGAAACCAATGATAATGAAATAGAGTTATGTAGATTAGAAAAAAAGGCTACAGACCCAACACAGGTGAAGAACCCTTGCCTTAGGGGATGATTTCCAAAAGTTGCTGGGGCTGAAAAATTCCTTCCCAGCACCCGACCTAACGGTGAGACTGTAGCTTAGTCAGGCCAGACCTCAGTTTCTGGATCCAGACTCCTTCACTAGGTTCACACCCAGAGGCTTTCCAGTTCAGTAGGATTGACCAGTTTGCTCCCGTCTGCTGGCATAGCTTTTAAGGACCAAGGGTCAGCTCCATGTCACAACGAGGCCTCCTTGAATGAAAACTTGAGACAGAACAGTTTTGGTAAGATTCTTCACTCTCCCTCTTGATCTGGGTCAGCTCGAGCACTAAAGAAAGCCTCCTTGAACCGTTACCAAATCCAGAGTGTGCTCTATCCTAAAGATGGGGAGGAAGATGAAGGGGAAAATTGAACCTACAGTAGGAAGAAAAAGGAGGGGGCAGGCTAGCTATAGTCTGTCGCCTTACAACTTTACACTTGTTTTTCTTAAAAGTGGATAAAAATGCTTTTCTTAAAAAAAAGATTGGGTTTCTTAAAAATTATCGCCAAAGCCGCTATAATTAGTGTTAATTCAAGATACATTAGGGTTCAAAGAGCTCAACAAAGATGCATTTGTTCATTCATTCTTCAAACAAACATTGACAGAACCCCTAGTATATCTGAGGTCTTGTTTTGTGGCTCTGAAGGGTATAAACATGAGCAAAAATCCACAGCTGGCATAGTGGGCTCAGTTCTGGGCACCGGATTTTAGGAAGACCTCTGGTAAGTTGTGGAGCAGCCAGAGGAGAGTAACCAAGATGGCAAAAGACCCTGCCATGTTGCAGCTGGCTGGAAGACCTAGAGGAACCACAATACAGTGTAAGCTCCTTGAGACCAGAGACTATCTCTTGCCTCTTTTTGTATCCCCAGCACTTAACACAGTGCCCGGCACATAGTAGGTGCTTAATAAATGTTGATTGACTGATTGGTAGCAATTTGTAGCAATATTTGTAACAATAACTTGTGGAAATGGGATTGAACTGGTTCTGCTTGGCTTCATAGGGCAATGGGCACATATTGTAGGGAGGTAAATTTAGGTTTGATCTCATAAAAAGACTTTCTAACAAGAGACATCCAAAAGTAGAATGGTTTATCTCAAGAGGTAATAGGTTCTTCCTCACTGGAGGTCTTCAAGCAAAGGCTGCATGACTAATTGTTGGGTATGTTGCTGAACAGGGTCTTCCTAGGTCGTTTTTGCTTAATATTTTGGGAGGCATCACAAGTGTGAGAAGAACGGATAGGAGGTACCTATGACGTTAGGACAAAAGGCATCAATAGAACATGTTAAAATAGGTTACAACAGGCCTATTTTTGTACTGTTGTTGGACAGACCTTGAAGTGGAATGAACCCTGGGCTTGGAATCCTGAAACAGGTTCAAGTCTACTTAAAGTTTACCTTATTCACTGTGTGACTCTAAATCAGTTATTTCCCCTTCTCTCTACCAGTTCCTTCATCCATCTGCCTTAGGATGGTATAGTAGATAAGAGCGCTGAACTTGGGAGTCTAGAAGACCCAGGTTCAAGTCTTGTCTTTGACACACCTATTAGGTGTGCTACCCTGGGGCAGCAAATTAACCTCTTTGAACCTCAGTTTTATCATCCATAAAATGGGGGTTGTAACAACCACCTACCTCATAGGGCTATTAAGAGTAGCAAATGAGATAAGGGATGTCACCTTAAAATAGGTAAGCTGGAGAAGCTGCCCTTCACTCCCAACACTAGTACAGATGAAACAAAGGATATGAATTGTGATTTGTGAACTGGAGAGTGCTACTAAGAATATATATATTTTTTAATGCTCTAAATCATTATTGGCTAAAGGAATGCAAATTTTAAAAACTGTGAGGTACCACCTCATAACTATCTGACCAACTGATATGACAGAAAAGAAAAAGGATAAATGTTGGAGACGTGGAAAAGTTGGGACACTAATGCCTTGCTGGGGGAGTCATGAATTAGAGAGCACTTTGGATCTGTGCCCAAAGGGCAATCAAGCTGTGCATACCCTTTGATCTAGCAACGCCACTACTAGGTCTGTGTCCCAAAGAGATCACTCAAAGGGGGAAAGGACCCACATACTTATTCATAGCAGCTCTTTCTGCGTTGGTAAAGAATCGGAAATTGAGAGGATGCCCATCCGTTGGGGAATGACTGAGCAAGCTGTGGTACATGAATGTAATGGAATGCTATCGTGCTGTAAGAAATGATGAGCAGGCGGACTTCAGAAAAAACTAGGAAGACTTACATGAACTGATACAGAGTGAAGTGAGCTGAACCAGGAGAACATTGTACACGGCTAACAGCCACATTGTTCGATAATCAACTATGACTGATTTAGCTTTTCTCAGCAATACAATGATCCAGGACAGTCCCAAAAGACTCATGATGGAAAATGCTATCCACATTCAGAGAAAGAACTATGGAGTCTGAATGCAGATGGAAGCATATGATTTTCTCTTTTTTTTCCCCCTGTAGTTTTCCCCTTTTCTGTTTCTTCTTTCCTAATATGACTAATGTAGAGATAGGTTTAACATGATTACATATGTATAATCTATATCAGATTGCTTTCCATCTTGGGGAGGGAGACAGGGAGAAAAATTGGGAACTCAAAATTTTATAAAAATTGAATACTGAAAAAATATAATATTTTGGGGCAACCGGGGTTAAATGACTTGCCCAGGGCCACCTGGCTAATTGTCTGAGGCCAGATTTGAACTCAGGCTGGTGCTCCATCCACTGCACCACCTAGCTGCCCCATGCTACTAAGAATATTGATTACTTTTGTCCTAGACACACACAGTACAACAACCCCCTCTCCCTCCACCCCAAATACTGTTGTACAATAATAGAAATTGGAGACAGGTTTCTGTACAGAGTTTATTTACAGAGTTATCCTATAGGAGAAGCTGCCTGAGGTCTCCATTTCAAGGGAGGGTGATACCTAGTGCATTTCAGGGAAAAAAAAATGGCAGAGGTCACCGTGCCCTCATAGCATAACTCACTGGCTGTTTGACCTTGGGCAAGTTCCTCTCTGTTTCCTAAGTACAGCTGTGAAACAAGCTTATCCACCTGATACCAGAGGGGCAGAGAACTGGCCAGTGCTTCTGCTCTTCAGCTGTGCAGGACAGTATGGACAGGGATGAGGCAGCTCTCCTGGGGTGGGGTGGCTAGATGGAGGGCAAGGGGAGGGAAAGTGGGGATCCCCAGAAGTCTTCCTTCTAGGGCAGGCCTCCTCTCCTGACACGGGGGCCAAGCACCCTCAGAGGCTTTTTTAGGAAAGCGTCACTCTGCCTAAATCATTGCATCAGTTAGGAAGTGCAGTCAAGGAGGAAAGCTTAGAAGGAAGGGCACCTTTGCCTTGCACAGGGCATCCTAAGGAAGCTCCGACTTTCAGGCACCCTGTCCACTGCTCAGTGGGAGCTGGCTGTGGAGGGCCCCATCTATCTCAGCTCGTGGCCCTGGGGCAGTGTGGGGAACATGACCATGCTTAGGAAGTCAGGTGGCATGGTTTCCTGATTCGGGGACTCAATCTGTGCGTCTACCAAGGGTACTCCTTCCCAAACCAAGTGGGAAGAAAGAGGAGGGCATGAGGACAAGGAGAGGGAAGACCCTTTGTAATTTAGGGAAAAGGATACCTGGTTGTCACCCAGGCCTAGACTGGAAGAGTATAGTAGAGTCTCATAAATGAGTCTAAGAGTCGGGGGGACATGGGTACATGTCCCGACTTTGTCTCTAGGACCTGTACATCCATTTTTTCTCTAAGCCTCACTTTTCTCATCTGTAAGATGGCTATAGTACTCACTCTACCTATCTCACAGGACTGCTGTGGGGGTCAAATAGGAAGACACGAGAGGATTTTGTGGTGCTAATGTGATTTATAAATGTAATCTCATGGGATCGCGGACCTGAATCTGGAAGGAATATCAGAAGCTAATTAATCCAGCCCTTCCATTTTCCAATAGATGCTAGTGAGGTGCCCAGAGGTAAAGAGACTCGACCCAAGGTCACCCAGCAGCAGAGATGAGATTTGAGATGGTGCAGTGGGTAGATCGCTGGGCCTGGAGTCTGGAGAACCTGAGTTCAAATGTGGCCTCAGACACTTACTAGCTGTGTGACCCTGGGCAAGTCACATGACCCTGTGTGCCTCAGTTTCCTCATCTGTACAATAAGCTGGAGAAGGAAGTGGCAAACCACAACAGTACCTCTGCCAAGAAAACCCCAAATAGGGTCAAAGAAGAGTTGGATAGGACCGAAAACTACTCGGCACCACAATCCCTGAATCCAAAGACTGTGTTGTTTCTGCTATACTATATCAGACCTAATTTTAGACCAAATGACATACTGGTTGCTAGGTGAAGGAAGTGATGGGACAGACAGGGATGTCGCTTTTGTCAGCCTCATATTTTTCATGAGAAAAACTAGGGAAGAACTAATCACTGAGGAAGGGCTCGATGTCCTTGTCTTCACACAATCGATCCCAAGAAGCAGGATGGGGCAGGGGAAAGGGCCCTGATGTGGGTGTCTGGGGCGCCAGTGTCTAGTTCTATTTCTGACACTAGCTTTCTCTGCCACCTGGGGCAAGTGATTTCTCCTCTCTGGGCCTCAGTTTCCCCTCTATAAAATGAGGATGGTGGAGCAGATGGTCTCAAAAATCCCTCCCAGCTTGCATAGTCTATGTCCTAAAATGCCTCGATTTCTGACAGTCTAGATGCTAATTTCTCTAGCAGTTTTGGCATTCTATGTGAATCCTTAAGTAAGTCCATATTTCCCCTTTACTGCAGGATTTGGGGAGATACAACCACAGGTCAGAGCTCATCTGATTTGGACCTTCCCAGTACAAGTGCCCCCTCTCTCCCACTCGGGAAAGCTTTGAGGCCAGAGGTCAAAGCTGGCCACGTCTTCTGGGAAGAGTCCTGTGTTCAGCTGGCAGCACCCAAACTCCCCTTCTCGTCTGAGCATTCCTCTCTATGCTCCAGGCAGGTGGACCACGTGGTTTCTTCTTCGTGTTTCTTTGATGCATCTACCACGGGCCCGGCCAGCAACTGCTCAGCAGAACTGAAAACAAAACCAAAAAGGCCAACAGGGTTTGTGATGCTCTCCTGATATCAGTCAGAACAGTCCCAAGTTCAGATCCGGCCTCAGACACGTTACTAGCTGCATCACCCTGGGCAAGTCACTTGAACTCTGTCTGCCTCGGTATGGGGATAATAATTACACCTTCTTCCCAGGATTGTTTCGAGGATCAAATGAAATTTTTATAAAGTGCTTGGCATAATATCTACTGCAGAGTTGGTACTCAGTAAACCTTCCTTCCTTCTTCCATCCCTCCCTCCCTTCCTTCATCCCTTCTTCTTCCTTCCTTCCTTCCAATGTGGTACTGGTCTGGACAAGATGGAATTGGAGCCTCAGTTTTCTCACCTGTAAAACAGGACACTACCCACCTGAAGCTACTGGAAAGATGACTCACCTAGCATATGGGAACAAGGTTGGAGCTACCTCTACCCTGAGCCCCAGGGGTCTCACAAGGGACTCTTCTAAGGGAAAAGGTTCTGAGAAAAGAAAGGTACCCTCTCTGCCAGAACCCTCTTCATGTAGTCCTGCAAGGAGGGAATATAGCCTTGTTGGTGAAAAGTTAACAGCTGAGCCCCGTGGAGTCAGGCAGACAAAGGTCTTGGTGGGTAGCCAAGCTAAGCAGGGGAATCGGGATTCCTTTAGAACCTCCCTCATGGGGTCAGTGTGAAGCTTAGAGGAGTCAGGGAATCTAAAGTACTTTGTGCTCCTGACCGTTAGAGAAAAAAGAAAGAGGAAGAGGGGAAAAGTGGAAAAAGCCCGAGACCGGGGGTCTAGGGTCTGGGAGTCTGGGGCTTGGGTCTGGATCCTAGCTCTGCTGCTCACTGTGCACCTCTGAGCAGTCCCTCGGGTGCTCTGGGGCTCCACGTCCTCATCTGGAAGGGGGGAGGGGTCAGAGCGTCTCTGAAGTCCCTTTTGACTTTTGACTCTAAATCCTAGGACCCCATAAGAAGTGAATCAGGCCCAGTGCACATGGGCCTCACACCCGGGCTGGGAAAGGCCCCAAGCGAGGCCATCGGCTACTTGGAGGGCTGCAGAAGCAAAAGAAATACAGACCTTCCAGCGGTTGCCACACTCATTGCATAAGACGAAAGTGGTCATGGGCTCATCAGCGCTTCGTGTCTGCACCTGAGAAAGTAGAATCATCCAGTCACTCCCCTGCTCTAGAATCTACCTTGCTTCCTGCTGGAACAAGGCCAAACTCCTCACCCGGGCATTCAAGGCACCTCCCTCCCCTACACAGACTTCTCCCACCCAGCCTCATCACTTGAACTTCCCACCACGCCCCACCAGTCCCTTGAGCACCCACCCTCACAGTCCTGTGCCTTAAATAGAGTAGGAATTTAGTGTTTGCTGAGTTAAATTGAAAGACAGAATGGTTGGGTTTTTTTTTTCTGACCTCAGGACCTTTACTGATGTTTTTGCCCTCACCTGGAATGCTCTCTCCCTTCCTTTCCACCAATTCTGGGTTTTACATCCTTCACTGGACTTGAAGATCTGGGTTCGAGTCTTGGCTCTGCAACTTACTTACTGTGTGGCCTTAGGCAAATCACTTAACCTCTATGAGGCTCAGTTTCCTTGTCTGTAAAATGGGGATAATAATACTCGCACTATTTACTTCACAAGGTTTTTGGGAAGAAAGTTTACAAAATGTAAAATGCTACAGAACTGTGATCTATGACATGAGCTCAAGACAACTTCTTCCAAGAAGCTTTTCCCATCAGGACCCTTTGATTCACCTCTTATGTGCTAAAGCATCTCCCAGCCCTGACCTTCTGTGTTCTGAGAGCCCTCTAAGCCCTGACCTTCTGTGTTCTAAGGCCCTCCCAGCTCTGACCTTCTGTGTTCTAAGGGCCCTCCCAGCTCTGACACCCTGTGTTCTAAGGGCCTCCCAGCTCTGACACCCTGTGTCCTAAGGGCCCTCTCAGTTCTGACCTTCTGTGTTCTAAGGGCCCTCCCAGCTCTGACCTTCTGTGTTCTAAGGGCCCTCCCAGCCCTGACCTTTTGTGTTCTAAGGGTCCTCCCAGCTCTGACCTTCTGTGTTCTAAGGGCCCTCCTGGCTCTGACATTCTGGGTTCTAAGGGCCCTCCCAGCTCTGACATCCTGTGTCCTACGGACCCTCCCAGCTCTGACATTCTATAATGGTCCTCCCAGCCCTGACATCCTGTGTTCTAAGGGCCCTCCCAGCTCTTGACATCCTGTGTTCTGAGGGCCATCTCAGCTCTGACATCCTGTGTTCTAAGGGCCCTCCCAGCTCTTTACATCCTGTGTTCTGAGGGCCCTCCCAGCTCCGACATTCTGAGTTCTAAGAGCCCTCCCAGCTCTGACATTCTATAACGGTCCTCCCAGTCCTGACATCCTGTGTTCTAAGGACCCTCCCAGCTCTTGACATCCTGTGTTCTGAGGGCCATCTCAGCTCTGACATCCTGTGTTCTAAGGGCTCTCCCAGCTCTTGACATCCTGTGTTCTAAGGGCCATCTCAGCTCTGACATCCTGTGTTCTAAGGGCCATCTCAGCTCTGACATCCTGTGTTCTAAGGGCCCTTCCAGCTCTGGCATTCTGTATTCTAACAGTCCTCCCAGCTCTGACATTCTGTGTTCTAAGGTATCTTCCAGTGATAAAGTTCTATGTTCTAAATACTCTCCTAGCTCTGACACGCTGTGACTATAATTGGTCTCCATGTCTTATTTTCTATCTGTCCCTGTCCAACCCCACAGGAAAATACATACTATCTGGTCAATATGCAGAGGCCTTGCCATTACTATTAAGTGATGAGACCCAATTCCAGAAGTCTCATGAAAATCTCTTTCTCTATTGTCATGCCTTTGACAGCTAAAGAATGTTACTAAATCATCCTGTCCTCTTCTAGATGCTGTATCACCCCAGAGCCCCATCCATTCATTCTCTCTGGTGTCTACACGGCCTCCCCTCCTTGCTCCTTCAAGATGGATTCCCTCCTGAGCTGCTCCATAGAGGCCCCCTACCCTAGTGCGCACCTGGTTGTAGGTACAATTCTTCTTTTTACACTTATTGCACTGGAAGAGGTCAGTCGTTGTGCCCCCGGTCTTGGCCATCTGGTGCTCCCGGATGGCCTCCAGAGTCATGGCATTCCTCAGCTCCTTCAGCTCGTCACTCGCCATTTCCTAAATGAACCAACCAATATTCGAGAGTCTGAAGAAAGGATGGCATTTCCTACGCCGCATGTCCTGGTGGGGCAGCATCAGTGAATGGCTAAGGCTAGGAATAAGACAGCTCCCCGAGATGGGGCTTCAATTACAGACAAAAACGTCCATGGGCTCTCATAGAAACCTGGTTCTGCCACTGAGGAGCCATGTGACTTCTGGCCAGGCCACCCACCTGCGATGGTGCCCTGTTCGGAGTCTCAGGCCAGCTTTGCCCTTGATGCAGACAAATTCTCTGAGTGACCTCCCCAGCCCAGGTCCCAGCTTATTTCTGCAATCCACATGCAGACAGAGACAAGTAGGCTATCTCTACCTTCTCAGATCGCACCCAGGCAGCACTAAGGGCCCTCAGGTGAATTTCACAGAAGGAAACCATCGGGAGTCCCACAAGCTCTCACAGGAGGTGAGGAATGAATGGCATTGGCACCATTCGGAGCATAACATGTTCTATTCAGCCTAGATGGTCACCAGCATCTGTTAAATTCTGGTACTATATTGGTATTCTGTTAATACTGGAAATTCTAGTGATATATTGGGGCGGCTAGGTGGCGCCACAATGCATGGAATGCTGGGCTTGGAATCAAGAAGATTCATCTTTGTGAGTTCAAATCTGAGCGCAGACATTTGCTACCTGTGTGACCCTGGGCAAGTCACTGAACCCTGGTCTGCCTCAGTTTCCTCATCTGTAAAATAAGCTGGAGAAGGAAAAGGCAAACCACTCTCATATCACTGCCAAGGAAACCCTAAATCAGGTCAGGAAAGGTCAAACACGACTGAATGACAACAAACTTTTATGAACTTCCTTCAATAGCTTCCGCAAGGCTATAATTATAAGCAGCTGACCCCCGACAACTGGCTTGTGTCATGTCATCCATTCCCCCTGGCCTCGGCTGCCAGGGGTGACGTAGTCATGGGGTGTGTGTCTCCCGGGCTTGACTTACATGGACAGACATCAGTACCCTTTGAACCCAATAGTTTGAGGAGTCATAAGGTTATAATTTTAAGTAGTTGACCCCAGTTTATTGTCCTTTGGGACAAAGTAGAAAATGTAGGTGGATCCAGATATTCGAGGAGTATATTTCTTGTGGTCAGATGAGGTTTTTAAATAATGATTTAGCATCAGCATCTCTGAGAGGAAACCTCGGTCTGAGGAAAGTCAGAGCGGCCAGGCTTAACACTGTAACACCGAGATAGCCTTCCCTCTGCCCAGTTCTGCTGGGCGCCTGCTCAATATCTCTGCTTCCCACAGGGAACCCGCCTAACACCTCCCCAGGAGCCAAGATTGCAGCTTCAGAAATGACACCACCGTGGAGCTCCTCACCTCAGCCGTCATCTTGGCAATGAGGCTGGTGGAAATAGCCCCACAAAGCACATTCCGCCTCAAGCTGGGGTTCCTGGGATCCTTGAGATTACTGATTCGGCTGCGTACCCTATTCCGGTATTTCATGTCTGTGCCCTTCAGTTCTTGATATATATGTGAAATAGTCAAGGAGTCACGCCAAAGAGAAAAGTGGCGAGGAAGCTTCTCTTCCCTCCCACAAATACAGCCCCACCGTCTAATAAAAATAACACTGGGTTTGGAATCCAGTGGGTCCCTATCCTAGTTCTACTGTGTGACCTTGACATGGTCCCGTCACATCTCTAGGCTTGTTTCTTCATATGTAAAATGAGAAAGCTGAATTAGACCAGAGGCTTTTCACCTTTTTGTGACCTGGACCCTTCTGGCTGTCTGGTGGAGCCTATGGACCCTTTCTCAGAAGAATATTTTTCAATGCGTAAAATAAAATACATAGGATTAGTGAAAATAAAGATTAATTTTTTTTCCATCTAAGTCTATGAACCTCTTGAAATCTATCCACCAACCCGCTGGGGTCCATGATTGCTAACGTTCCTAGATGATTGCTAACATTCCTCCCAGGTCTAAATCCTATGATGGCCACAAGGAAGAGGGTCCATCTTGGGGGTCTTAGTTCTGCTGGAATAGAATTTTACTCTGCCTAGCTCTTGATTTAATCTGGGCCTCCCACGGACATGGGGTTCAATCAGGAAGGCTGAATATACAGGCAAAGAAAGTATCTGTCTACAGGGTGGCCTGGTTTGAGGATCAATAGTGTCATCCCAACCAGAAGGAAGTATGTCTGAAATGCTATGCTATGAAGGGACCCCCTCCATTGTGAACAGAGAGCTGACTGTGTTCTTCTTTTAATAATAATAATAATAATAATAATAATAATAATAATAATAATAGTTGGCCTTTATATAGCACTTTAAGCATTTTACAAATATTATCTCATTTGATTCTCCCAACAACCCTGAGAGGTACTGGTGCTACCAATACCCCCACTTTACAGACAGGGAAACTGAGGCAAACGGGGTTTGGTTTGGTTTTGCTTTTTGTTTTCTGGTGTATCAGAAAATGTGTTTGACTCAGAGTCGGGAGACTAGGTTCAGGTTTCATCTCTGCCACTTACTGGATGTTGTGACTGGAGCCACGTCACTTCTCCTCCCATTTGCCATGTGTGGCAGCACGGTGACAAGGGAAGGACACAGGGATCACTGACTTAGAGCCAGAAGGGACTTTTGGGGTCATCAAGTCCAATCACCTCCATCTTAGTGATGAGAGGCCCAGAGTCACAGAAGTAGGATTCAGAACCAGGTTCTTTGCCTCCTATGTCAGCACATGTCCCACTGAGTCACACCATGTCAGAGGCTCTTGGGATCTATCATAGGCTGAAGGCTAGAAGGACCTTAGAAAGCGCTAAGTCCAGGGGCAGCTAGGTGGTGCAATAGATAGAGGTCTGGTCTTAGAGTCAGGAGGACCCGAGTTCGAATCTGGCCTCAGACACTTGACACTTACTAGCTGTGTGACCCTGGGCAAGTCACTTCACTCGGTTTACCTCAGTTTCCTCATCTGTAAAACGAGCTGGAGAAGGAAATGGCCAACCACTCCACTATCTTTGCCAAGAAAACCCCAAATGGGGTCATGAAGAGTCAGACTACTGAACAAAAACACAAACTTCTGTCACCTGAACAATGGTCAGTGTGGGTTTCCTGGTCTCGCCTGGCACCTGACACCTCCAGAGAGGGCAAGGAGCAGGCAGGGGTGGGGTGGGGGGAAGAAAGGAATGAAATGAGATAATGAATGAAAATGAGTATTAAGTCCTTCCTCCCACTGTCTGAAGCCCAGCTGTGGTAAAGGGCCAAGAGACAGAAGCAAAGGAACTGCTGAGCCTGCTGGGAACAAAGATGAAGTCTGTGATAACCCACGGATGGGAGGCACTGTGCTTAGTAGGAAGCAGGTTTTGGATGGTGGCTCATACTCTATGATGCACCGGGAAATAATAAAAGAAAGAAAACAATGAGTATGAATTAGTCCAGGAAGGGTTTGGAGCCAGGCTCGGCCCTCAGCGACATCTTGGAGCAGCCAAGCCTGTCTTCTGCACCCCCTTCTTGGCATCCCTTCCTTCCCCTTCCCCCGGGACTGGGGCCCCATACTTTCTTCTCCCCCCTTTTCCAAATTTCAGGGTAGGTTCTCACCTCAGTAATGTATATCTTGGTATATATTTAATTCTCTATGTTTCATACCTCTGGAATATTCTGAGCCTCATCACTGACTGTGGAATGAAAATGTGGAATGGTTACCTGACGAAGGAACTTTGGGTGTCATAGACTCATAGAATGTTCAAGCCAGAAGGGATTATGGACCAGAGAATGTTAGGACACAGAATGTCAGAGCTGGGAGGGCCCTTAGGACACAGAATGTCAGAGCTGGGAGGGCCCTTAGGACACAGGATGTCAGAGCTGGGGGGCCCTTAGGACACAGAATGTCAGAGCTGGGGGGGCCCTTAGGACACAGGATGTCAGAGCTGGGGGGGCCCTTAGGACACAGGATGTCAGAGCTGGGGGGGCCCTTAGGACACAGGATGTCAGAGCTGGGGGGGCCCTTAGGACACAGGATGTCAGAGCTGGGGGGGCCCTTAGGACACAGGATGTCAGAGCTGGGGGGGCCCTTAGGACACAGGATGTCAGAGCTGGGAGGGCCCCTAGAGCACAGGATGTCAGAGCTGGGAGGGCCCTTAGAACACAGGATGTCAGAGCTGGGGGGGGCCCTCGGGACACAGGATATCAGAATCAAAGGGACCTCAGGGCCCATCTGGTCCAGACTCCTCATTTTACAGATGAGGAAACTGACAAGACAGTCTAGAGAGGGCCAGCGACTGGTCTAGAGGTCACAAGATCATTAGTCCAACCCTCTGGTTTTATAGACAAGATGAGGGCCCTGCAAGGCGGTGACTTTCCCACAGTCACACGGGTAATAAGGGGCAGAGTGGGGATTAGAGCTCAATCTGCAGCATGCTGCATCAGGACAGGGGCAGGTGAAGGTAGGTAGGAGGCATCTTCCTGGATTGGGACCCTCCCCCCACGCGCCACACACGGCGGCCCTGTTTCCAGAGGTGATTATGGGTCATCTTTCATCTGGGACAGGGACAAGTGGGAAATTCCAAGAAGTCTGATCCTCATCATGCAGGAAGGAGGGGGGAAGCGCTGAGAGGACCAGTCCAAGAGTGGGGGATGGGGCAGAGGGCCAGGAAGTCCTTCCCTTCCCTGATAACTCAGATGCAGGAAGCAGTGCCAGGCCCATTCAAGCCCATCTCGACATCTTATGTCATCACTTCTTGAGTCTATGGAGGGGAAGAAATATTAGAGTCGAGGACCCTGTTCCCAAGGAAGTGGTGAGAAGAGATGGGTGGGCTGAGGGGACTCGGGTCGCTGTCCCTTCCTCCCTGCCATGCCTCTGGCTTTGAGTGACCCAGACCCAGGACTGGAACTCCCATGAGACCAATGGTGCTTTGTCACAGGCAGATGATATCCGTGGAGGCAAGATGGCCTTGGTGTGTGTGATGCTGGACAAGTCACAGCCTCCAGGGGCCTCAGTTTCCTCACCTGTAAAATGAGGGGTTTGGACCAGACGGGCTCTGAGCTCCCTTCCAGCCCTAGGTCTATAATAATGATGATGACTGATGATAATGACAGTTACTATATAACAGCTCACATAGCAATTACTACATGCTAGGCACTGTGCTAAATGCTTTACGATTATTTATATCATTTGATCCTTACAACAAACATGGGAGGTAGGTGCTGTTATGATGCCTATTTTACAGATGAGGAAACTGAGGTAGTTAGGTTTCAGTGACTTGCCCAGGGTCATACAGCTAGTAAGGGTCTGAGGTCATATTTGAATTCAGGTCTGCCTGACTCCAGGCCCTGCGCTCCACCCACTGCACCACCTAGCATGATCCCTGGTGGGATAGGGGGAGGGAGGCACACTTCCTCCCCAGAGCGAATGCCTCACAGTCCTTTCCCGGACCAGGTAGCGATATGGTTGCACCATCCCTGGACCTCTGTGGGCCCATCACCACGATGCCCCTCTCCTGGTCCCCATCTCCTCCGCAGCCCCCATAAAGATGAAGGCCAGCCCACCCTACAGCTGGTGTGACTTCAGCTTGTCAGCCTCTGCCCCGCTCTGCTCATTCCTCAGCTAGCGGCCGAGGTCTTCCCTGGGAATACCAGGTCGTGTTGGACAAACCCCCAGCACAGCCCACAAAAGGATATGATCTTCAATTTCTGATGCCATCTTATCACAGTTGACCCCATATTCTTTGTAATCACCTAAAAAAAATGCAAAAAGCCATGTTTTACTCTGTCTTGGCAAAGAAGCCAATTATAAACCAGGGAACTGGTGTGTGGGGAGGAGGGGCAGTAATTAAGACAAATGTTCCTGCTACTGCTCCTCCCTGTGACCTCCCCAACTCCTTGCCGAAGAGTCAAGGACAAACACAGGGGAGTTTTCTTCCCACGCCCCAGGGAAATGCTGACTCCTTTTCTCTTTTTCCAGTCTCAAACCTCAAAGAATCCTACAGAATCCCAAAGTCTGAAGGGACCTCCAGAGATCACATCTAGAGGGACACACACCTGACAAGCAGTCACTGAGCCTTCTCTTGAAGATGGGAAACTCACTACCTTTTGAAGCGGCCCAATTTACAATTGCATAACTTTGTGAGGAAGTCTCTCTTTCCATTGACGCTAAATCTGCCTCTCTGTAACTTCCACCTGCTGCCTTCTGCTCTAGGGACAAGCTGATCCCCTTTCCTCATGATGGCCCACCCCAGACCTCCTCACCATCCATCTTCAGGGCTGCTGACAGCATCTCAACGCACTTGTCCCGGACTGAGTCTCCTGTGAGGTAGCAGGGGGCCAAAAAACAGACGGATGGAGAAAATGTAGGCGAAGAGGGGCTGGTGGGTGTTTTTGGGGTCTCCACTTTCCCTTTGCTGCTGTTAGATCTGAGGATAGAGGAACAGGAATGGTCACAGCTAGCTAAGTCTCCCCAAAACTAGATTTCTCTGCTTCTCTCTCCCCCTCCTGGGGCTACCTCCATACCACTGAGTCTAGAGTAAGGAAGCCCTGAGTTCTAATCCTCAGATACTAACAAGCTGTGTGACCCTAGACAAGTCACTTAATCGCTATCATTCTCAGTTTCCTCATCTGTAAAATGGGGATAATAATCACACCTGCCTCCTAGGGTTGCTGCAAGGATCAAATAAAATAATATTTGGAAAGCACTTTATAAACCTTAAGTCAATTAAATTCAGTCATTTTTCAGTCGTGTCCAACTCTTTGTGACTCCATTTGGCATTTTCTAGGCAGAGATATTGGAGTGGTTTGCCATTTCCTTCTCCAGCTCATTTCACAGATGAGGAAACTGAGGCAGACCTGGGTGAAGTGACTTGCCCAGGGTCTTCTGAGGCCACATTTGAACTCAGGAGATGAGTCTTCCTGATTCCAAGTCCAGCGCTCTGTGCACTATGGCACCACCTAGCTGCCCTACGAATCTTAAAGCTCTACATAACTGTAAGCTCCTATTTTTCCTGTCTTCTACTAAGGCACCGACCTTGAGCTTCTGTCTGCATCAGGTCACTGTCCCCTAGAATCTCAGACCTGGAAGGGGCCCTCCAGGCCAAGCCCAGGAGCCTGCGAATCCCCTCTAGGCCATTCCCCCACATGCTGGCAGGCCGCTCTTTGGGGCTCTCCCTACCCTGGCCCCTCACACTGCTGGGCGGCTCTAATGGCTGGGAAGGTTCCATTTAACCCGGAGCCCCCCTCTGCCCCTCTGCATCCACCACACACTTTGCTTGTCCTGCCCTCCACAGCCACGCAGAAGAGCCTGATCTTAGAGCACTGGCCCTGAAGTCAGGAGGACCTGAGTTCAAATCCAGCCTCAGACCAAGCGCTTGACACTTACTAGCTGTGTGACCCTGGGCAAGTCACTTAACCCCAACTGCCTAAACCAAACAAACCAACAAAGAACAGAAGAGCCTGATCCCTCTTGGATGATTATCATGGGTCTCCTGATGAGGGACTGTTTCACGCGGCTCATCTAATAGCTAACATTTAGATAGCACCTACTGTGGGTCAGGCAGCGCGCTAAGTGCTTTACAATTATGATCTCACTTCATCCTTACAACAACCCTGGGGGGTAGTGCTTTTTACAGGTGAGGAAACTGAGGCAAAAAAAAAAAAGGCTAAGCGACTTGCCCGATGTTACACTGCTTAAAAGTATCTGAGGCCAAATTTGAACTCAGGTCTTCCTGACTCGAGGCCCAATGCTCTATAGCTGGGGGGCTCCAAGCGACGCTCCTCCCATGTTCTCGCCATCCGTGCCCTCCCTGCCTGCCCCACTACGAATGACCATCTACAGACTTGGGTGAGTCGGCTACCCCCCAGGGATCCACAAGGCCTTCTTGTAACTTTCCAAAAGAGAACACCCATCCCAAGCCACCGCTCCCCGTCTGGGTGGCTACCTCCTATTAGAACACAGGTCCCTTGAAGGCAGGGACTGTTTAAATTTTGTACAGCCAGAGGTCAGCACACAGTGATCCCTTAATAAATGACTTTCTCATTCACTTCTTCATGAACCCAAGACCCTTTCACCATCCTGACTGTCCTCCCCTGGACCCTGTCCAGCTAATCAACCAACGTTCAGCACAGGCCCATCTGAGACAACGAGGCAAGACTCAGAAAGCCTAGAACGCACAATGCATCCCTGGTCTCAGCCTTCAGTTTCCTGTGCTTGTCACCTCAGCACAGGCTGGCACTTGGGACATCCTCAGGGACACACAGAACGCAGGGGAGCGAGGACCCTGGGGAAGGCTCCCCGGGAAGCTGCACGCCTCTGTCATGATAGAATCTGCTCCAGTCACTCCCTTGTTCTCCTTCATGTTAGCGAGATGAGATTTGTGGCTAGGTGTTGTAGAGGATAGAGTGCTGGGCCCGGAGTCCGGAAGATCTGAGTTCAAATCCAGACTCAGATGCTTCCCAGATGTGTGACCCTAGGCAAGCCACTTTCCCTATGTCACCTCTGCTCCCTCATCTGTAAAATGGGGATAACAACAGCACCTACCTCCCAGCGTTTGTAAAGAGTGCCAGGCACATGTAAATACCATATAATATAAATTTTATCTATTATTATTAGGACAGCTAGGTGGCACAGTGGATAGAATACCAGGCCTGAAGTCAGGGAGACCTAAGTTCAAATTCCAACTCAGACACTTGACGAGCTGTGTGATCCTGGACAAGTCACTTAACCCTGTTTGCCTCAGTTTCCTCATCTGTAAAATGAGCTGGAGAAGGAAATGGCAGATCACTCTAGTATCTTTGCCAAGAAAACCCCAAATGAGGTCATGAAGAGTCACACAACTGAACAACCCTAAATGCTTCTTGACTTGACTTTGAGACCTGGAATGGCCACCACAAAGGCAGGGCTGCCTGGGGAGCTCTGGGCTCACATCCGCCTGCTCAGAATCCCTGCCTTCCTTCAGGGCTCAGCTTGGGTGCCACCTTCTCTGTGAAGTCTTCCCCGATCCCCTCCCCTGGTTAGTCATTTCCCCCTTCTCATATTACCTAGCATTTACTCACGTTCAAGTTGTGTCTCTCCAACAGAATATTCCTTAACTACAGTACAATTCCTTGAACATTTTTTTAACTAGGCCTCTGTTTTCACTGGCACAAGAACTCCCAGCTGGAAAACTCCCTCTACTGATACAGATAGGCATCTGTTTGACAACTTATATGTTATGGGGTTGCTGGCTCTCTAAGAGGTTAGGTGACTCCCCCACAGTCACAGACCAAGTCTGTGCTTGGAAGAGGGACTTGAACCCAGGTCTTGCTGACTCTGAGTAAGGACAGCTCTTTATCCAAAAGGCAGAGTACTGCCACTCAGGCCTTGGACACAGTAGAAACTTAATAAATGATTGAACTGAATTGAATCAAAATGAATTGAACTGAGGCCTATGCTAGAACTGGCTTCTTAAGAGCCTTTTTTGCTGCTAGACCCAGCCCTGTCTGTTTGAAGGCGTGCTGATGCTGCTTTGCTGACCCCCTTAATTTCATCTAGTCCTGCTCAATCACCACTGGGGGACCCCTGGCAGGTCTCTGGGCCTCCATCTTTTCAACTGTAAAATAAAAGCGTCAGATTAGATGACACCTAAGGCCCCTAGCCTTGAATCTTCCTAGTACCACCTTATTTGGCCGCTAGGACCACGGCTGCCTGGTTTTTCTTAAGCATCAGAGAAGAACAAGCATTTCTGTTTTCTTTTTTCAGATATGGGACAGCTATTTATTTTCTAGACACAAATGAAAAGCTAACACACAAACAGACTGACAATAAGGCAAAACAGAATGCAGTAAGTTAATAACTACAGTCATGCTCTGGGAGCAAGCATTTAAGCACCTACTACGTGCCAGGCAGTGTGCTAAGAGCTATACAAACATCATCTCACTTGATCTTCTCCACAACCCTGGGAGGTAGGCACTACTTGTCGGTTCTATTTTACAGTTGGGGAAAGTGAGGAAGACAGGGGTTTAGTGATTTCCCCAGGTCACATGGCTAGGAAGTGCCTGAGGCTGGATTTGAACTTGGGTCTTCCTGACTCCAGGAAAAGTACCCCCCTGCTTCTTCACCTTCCTACCTGAGGCCCAGTAAATTCAGGGTTTAGATTCTGGCTCCCCCCAAAGCAATGCCTAGAGGAAGGCTGGCTGCAGGAGAGAAGAGAGTGAGAAAGTGATGCCCAGCATCCCATAGGGAGTAAGTAGCAGAAGCAGAATTTGAAGCCAGGCCCTTTGACTACAAATCTCTGTCTGTCTCCTCTCCTCTCCTCTCCTCCTGAGATTCCAATCTCATCTCAGCTTTTCCAATCATCTTCTCCCCCTTCCAGAGCCCAAGGCAATCAGAGGACAAATAAACACAGGAGCCCACATATCTCTGGAGCTTTGGGGTTTACAAAGACCCTACCAAACATCTTATCTGGGAGTCAGGAGGACCAGAATTCAAATCCAGTCTCAGACAAGACACATAACACTTACTAGCTGTGTGACCCTGGGCAAGTCACTTAACCCCATTGCCTAGCCAAAAAAAACAAACCCAAAACCCCAAAACAAACATCTCATCTGAGTTTCAGAACAGCCCCTTGAGGGAGATAATGAGGGTGTATTGTCTGCCTCATTTTAGAGATGAGGACACTGAGGATCAGAGAGGGTAATTGAATTACCCAACGTCATACAGCACATATCAGTCAGAACTCGAACCCAGGGCTCTTTCTGATGCCAAATGCTATCCATCTTTCTACCAGGGAGCCAAAGAACTTCAAAGACTGTTTCATTTTTGCCTTTACACATCAGTGACCAATACCATGTGTGGCACACAGTAGCTACCTAATAAATCCTTAATGCTGGACTGACTTGAAAGTATTCAGAATTATCCGGTTATAGGCTTGCCTCAGATGTCACCTTGTCTAAGCTAGAGCTTCAAAGGAAGGCCCTCCACCACCACCTTCCCTCTGCAGATAAGGGGACAGAGAAAACCCAGACAAGGCCAGAGACTTGCTCAAGGTCAAAGAATGCCATCCAGTCATTTCAGTCCTGTCTGACTCTCCGTGACCCCATTTGGGGTTTTCTTGGCAGATACTGCAGGGGTTCGCCATTTCCTTCCCCAGCTCATTTTACAGATGAGGAAACGGAGGCAGATAGGGTGAAGTGACTCGCCCAGGGTCACACAGCTAGTAAGTGTCTGAGCTCAGATTTGAACTCTGGTCTTCCTGACCTCCTGGCACTCTATCCACTTTGTCACCTAGCCACCCCTCAGAGAATGAGGAACTGCCAAATTAGAATAAGAATTCAGGGCTACTTTCTCCCCTGGCAAGTCCAGGCCTCCTCCTCCAGCATAGCAGGCTCCTCTTCTGGTCCGTGTGTCAAGGTACTCAGCCGCCCAAGGAAACTCTCTCCTTCA